TTTTTTTTTTTTTTTTTTTTTTTGGTACCAGGGATTGAACTTGGGTCCTTGTGCTTGCAAGGCAGGCCACCAAACTGCTGAGCTAAATCCCCTGCTGGATCACTACTTCTTGAAACACACCACAAAAAATATATATTGAACTCCTCTTGACTTTGAACTACTCTCTTGTGGTTCAAAACTTGTTACTGGCATCAGCTGTACATTGTGGCAGTGGTGTCTGCTTACTTCTGAAATGTTCAAATAAACATCTTAGGTCATCTAGTGGAATACAGAATAAAATATTTCACCAGCGAACTTGACACTTTGTTACTGAACCTTGTTGCTACTATTCTTAGTGAGAAATGGAATTATCACAGATAGAAGAGAAAAAGTCCAAATGTATGAGTGTCTACATCATGTGAGGATTCATTTCTACTGGGTGAAAAGAATGTTATGTAACTAACAGCTGCTTTTCCACCAAAATGTGTCTTTATAGGACAAGGTTAAACTTACAGCCCACAGTGATAGGCAAACTATCGTTAATGTTCTAAGATAAAGACCAGGAGAAATGTTTTATAGATGGGTAACGGAATTTGTCGAATTTATTCCACAGTCCATGAATCAATCTGTGTTTTAAACCAACCAAAGGGATTTGGTCGCTTCTCACTCCACCTACAGTTAAATAAATAGGCAAAGTTTTGGTGGAATAAATTTTGTTTTTGCATATTAGATAACTGATTTCTTTTTATAATAATCTTATGTGATATTGGGCCTAGCTGTAGGAAATATTCATTAAAGTCTGCTCAATGTGTTAAGAAAGCTAAATTAATATAAACACTTATTTTATTAATTAAGGCTTACATAGCTGCCTGGCATTTTATTACAATGTTTATTAACAGCAATTGAGTTTTTATACAGATCCAGCTGGGCATTGTTTAGGAGAGCAAAAGTGACCACCTGTAATCCACTCTGGGTGGCTGAGACAGGATTGTGATTTTGAACCAAGCCTGGGCTAATTTAGCAACTCTGCATGATTCAGTTTCAAAATTAAAAACAAGAAAAAGGACTGGGGATGTAGTGAGAGAACCCTGTATTCAATTCCCAATATGAAATAGAAAGTAAAAAAAGAGAAGGAAGGAGAGAGAAGAGAAGAGAGAGAGAGAGAGAGAGAGAGAGAGAGAGAGGGAGAAAGAGAAAGAGAGAAAAAGTTGGTCATGGAATTATTGGCAAAACTGTGTATACATAGCTACATGAATTTAATCTAGGGACACATTCCAGAATTGTCATCAGATTCTCAGAGGGATTTGTTCGCCCCTTCCACCTTCCCTTTTACCATGCCTCAAAAGCGGAGAACCACTGATCTTTAGCTGGAGATCTAAGCCAAAATAAATTGCTTGAACAAGAAATGAAGCTGCTGTCCATACTGGATTACTTTATGAGTAATCGAGAGACCATTTTTGTACCCACACTGGATCAACAACCAAGAAAAATTCAATAGTTAGATATAAATTCTCCATGAAAAATATATACGTGTGCCAGGTGTGGTGGCACATGCCTGCAATCCCAGCACTTGAGAGACTGAGGCAGGAGGATCACTAGTTTGAGGCCAGCCTTGGCTACCCAGCAAGTTCAAAGACAGCTTGAACTACACAGTAAGGTCCCGTCTCAAAAAACAAAAACAAACAACTAAAAATCATAGCTCCTTGTGAGCCGTAGACTTTTTAAGACATACCATGTTTTCTGGGAAACAAGTTTTGCCCAAAAGATGAGGAAATACTGAAAGAGCTCATTGGTTCACTGAGCATTGAAGAAAGTGGCCAAAACTTGGGCTGGCTGAGGAGATTTTTCTGAGAAGAAAAGCTGGACATGTCCCAATTGTATTTGTCCCAGCCCCTATATTTGCCAAGTAGAGTAACAGGCTGAGATTGTAGCAGCACTGTGAAGTTGGCCATATTACCTAACTTCTCTGTACTTCCATTTATCCAAGGGTAATGGTAGGGTCTCTCCTAGGCTTGTTGCAAAGATTAAATGCATTCATAAACATGGAAAGAACTTGATACCTGCCCGGCATAAAGTAAACGTTGCTGCACTTGATCTTAGCCAAAAGGCCAAGAAGCGATAAAAGTAAACATTGCTATTGCTAAGCCGACTATGGCGGTTTTCTCCTCTGCATGCTCATGAACAGCTGGTCTGAAGCCAACCAAGCCTTTGTCTCTTTGTCCTGGCAGCTGAATGCACCGTGATGGGGATCCCCAGTGTGACCACAAACCTCTCGGGCTTTGGTTGTTTCATGCAGGAGCATGTGGCTGATCCAACTGCTTACGGTGAGGTTTTCATCAACTTAACCTGGGGAGACCTGGCCTCTAACTGAGAAAGCAAGGATCTTAACAGAGCCTAACTCTAAAGCTCTGCTAATATGTAAATGAATCTGTGTATTTCTTATTTCCTTAAAATTAGATTTAATTATGTGGTCCATAGATAAGAATGCTATTAATATCAAAGATATTGCTCAAAAGACAGACCACAAAAGAAGTGCAAAACCTGGACAAACTTTTAACCTTGATCTATTTTTTTTTCCCAGTGGTGGTGATTTTTTTCTGATGTCTGGCTTGAACCTCTACTTTATACAAGTGATATTATAATCACTATGGTCTTAAAGTACATATATTGGTCATTATATTTACAACAAATGCATTATATACATGTTTAAATATATAATATGTGTAATATAGGTATAATATATGTGTGTTATGTAGAATGCCTTTCTATATACATATATTATTATTTATTTTACTATTTGTGCCAAGCTGGAAAATTTCACTTAAGTTGTGTAAAATGGCAGGAACATTTGCATATCACTGTCTATCTGTCCATGTTGCCTAGAAGCAAGAAGAATTAGAATAGGATGGATTCCATGCCTATATGTTGCCAGTTGTTTTAGTGTGGCACTATCACTATGGCTGTATAGTGGGAATACTGGGGTGGCTAAAAAGCAGCAATCCCAGGTCCTACCCCAAGAGATCCTGATTAGTGAGCAGCCGCTAATCACTGATCCAGCATATCCCTAGATGTCCAGACTTTTTTTTTTTTTAGTAAGCTCCACTACATTGGCTGATGGTGCTGGTTAATCCATTAGAAGACCACAGAAGATATAAAGTCTTAGAAGGAAAAAAATGAAGTGTTGACACTAGCTGAGCCAGGAAATAGATGTTGCATATTCTCTTTGGTAGAACCAAACAGATAATAAAGAAAAGAAGAAATAGTGGAAGATTAGCCCTATCTTTACTGGTGCATTGGCTTTTGTGCTTTCCAGGTATTTACATTGTTGATAGGCGGTTCTGCTCTCCAGATGATTCTTGCAATCAGCTGACTCAGTTTCTTTATGGATTTTGCAAACAATCACGCCGCCAAAGAATCATCCAGAGGAATAGAACGGAGAGACTCTCGGATCTTCTGGACTGGAGATACTTAGGCAGAGTAAGCAAGCTTTTGGTAAACATGGAGGAACCACTGTAAGAGTTCTACTAGAACTAAAGAATTGATTGCAGTCAGAATGTGTAAAGTTGATTCAACACCACGATTGTTAAAATCAAGGTGCTATTTCCATGTACTTTTTTTTGTTTTGTTTTTGGTACGGGGATCGAACTCGGATCCCTCCGCTTGCGAGGCAGGCGGCAGAACCACTGAGCTAAATCCCCGGCCCTCCATGTACTTTTTAACTTAATGTGAGCCTTCAAGGACCTAAATTCAATTCTTAGCATCGAGTTTAAGTCCATCCATAATAGCAAATCCATCAGGATCTAGCACTAATCTGACTTGTTATTCTACTATCAGTGTTTAACTCGACGCATTACAACTATACGGAAACATTTCTGGAACTCAGGGAAAACATCAAGACAACCCAAGGGATAAAAAAAGATCCCTTTAATTAAAGTCCTTGCTCACCAATTGGAGCCGGGGGTGAAAGACGCTGTTTTTCAAAACAAGACTTGAAAATACCACCAATCAATTACGCAGTAGATATATAAACACGCAGATGTTCGTGTATCTTAGAAATAAATTATTTAATATTAAATAAATTGACTGTGCCTTCATGTAATCTGCTTGCATAGTGCTAAACCCTCCTAGCCAAATAGCAGATGCTTCTACTGGCTTAATATCTATGCACACTGGATGGTTAGTTTTACTGCCTCTGTTTTATAAAGAAAACAGAAAGGCAAAGCTATGAGGAGTGATGCTCTTACCTCAGGTCTGAAGCAGGATTTGCATCCAGTCTGTCTGACTGTCCAGACCCCAACTCCCTCCTGTGTCGCACCACTTCTCTGTAGAAGAAACCGAGTGTTTTCAGTTACCGTACTATACAATTCAGAGCTGAGTGGACAGTATTTCTGCTCCAGTATTTTTGCAGTAGTTCTTTGCCTCTGTATTGAAAAACAATAAAACTATAAGCTATTGTTTCTTTCCTGATTCTCAGACTTAGGGTGAATAGATTCTTCCATATAGATGTGTGATGTGTGTGTATGTGTGTTTCAATGCCACATGTATATGTACCAAAATATTACATGGTATACTATTAATATATATATATATATATATATATGTATGTATACTTAAGTTTTTATGTATTAGTTAAGATAAACTTTAAATGAATTTAAAATGTATATATTTCAGACCAAGAAGAGTAAGACCTTCTATATAAATTGGAAACTGAGATATCCAAACAGGTTTTTCTTCTCTAACTGGTGAATTGTTTTTCTATCAATAGTTTTACCAGCATGCCAGGCATCTGACTTTAAGCAGAGCTTTTCCAGACAATTTCCACGTTGAACCCATGTCACTACCAACGGTAAATATTTAATGTATTATTTGTTTTGAAAGCTGAATGTCTTATTTGTGACAAGTTCTAACAAAACTTTTAAATCTAAAGGTAACTGGGCTGGAGATTTAGCTCAGTGTCGCTGTGCCTGCCTTGCAAACCTAAGGTCCAGAGTTTGATCCCCAGTACAAAAAAAAAACAAACAAAAAACTGAAGGTAACTAAGTATGGAAAACACACTTTTTGGGTGTATTGAATCAAAGCAAAGAATAAAGGATCTCACCAACTTTATCTCAAATCCCCTGATCTCATTCACCTCACATCTGGACATCTGGGAGAAATGTACTGGAGAGGAATCTCTATATTAAAACTCTGCCTTAATGCTTTGAGTGGTCCATTCTGTTGAGGGTTGTTAAAAAATAAACAGAGTTGCTTTAACAGGAAGTGCTATAGTAAATAGTGTGTGTTTACTACAGGATGACTTAGCAAGAATGAAATAAATTCCAGTATCCCAGAAGGTCAAATAAACACTTATGTGTCACTCAGCAGTAACTTCAGTGAGTCTTCTAAATTCCAATGAGGTGTGTATATTCATGCTACCAGGTAGGTCACGTTTGCTATCAGATTCACTTAGAAGGAAAGAAGAAAGAAGACAGGAAATGCACCTTGATGCAGGGTAGTATCCGGCGTTTCTCTTCAGTGAAATCAGTCCTTGCAGAAGTCTACATGATGATACAAGACCTAAACTTGTTTGGCTCCCTGGGCACCAGGCGACCTCACAGGTGCAAAGTGACAGGGCTCATACTGTTGTGTACAAGATTCCCTTAGCACAGTGTGGAGGTGCACAACTGTACTGCCATCTACTCAGGAGGTGGAGGTGGGAAGTTCACTTCAACCTACAAGTTCTGGACCGGCCTGGGCAACAAAGAGGGAACCCATCTGAAAAAAATACTCCGCCAGAGATCCACCTTACAGTAGAAACTCTGTGCTCTGCATGAGCTGATACGTTGTCACATCTCTAAAAATTGGCTCCCACAATCCCTCGAAGAATTATGCTCAGTTAGGAGTTATCACAGAGATCACCCAAAGCTTAGATCCCTATTGAGTACTTATGAATCCTTCAAGTTCATACACAAACTGATCAAAGGTCTCAATCTGGAGTTACTTTTATCATGACTTTGCCTAATAACATAATTTATTTTCTACTTAAATTAGGTTTCCAGAGGAGGCAATCAGAAAGATTTGCCTATAAAGAAGGCAAAAACAAGGTTTTCCTAATTGGTCCATCTACAAATTCCAACTCCCATGCTTATTATGTCTCTAGGATGCAGAGAATTGATTGCTTATTTGAAGACAGACACTCCTCTTGATAACTTAGCTATATTTATCCATTCACTTGTTGAATTAATAGGTGTTTATCTCTTAACGCTGAACAAGGTCCTAAGTGCAGAATTTAGCTCTTTTATGTATGTAATTCTTTCACATAGAGCACGTGAACCTTTAAATGATGATGCATTATTGTAATGCACAAACACGGTTGAGATTCTGAGTAGCAAATGCTGTAATACTTTTCTGTATTTGTCGCCCAGTTCCAGCATGTGCACCCCTAGAGCGCTGGCCAGGGATCATGCTTTCCAACTTGTTTCTTTGGTGGCACAGCAGTATCTGACACAGAGGTGGTGTTTAGTGCATGGTTGTAAATGAGTCTTCTCAGTGAGTCTCACGTAGCAAAGCAATTTGATTAAAACCTTGTGATATTTGTCCATTAACTAAAATGACAGCAAACTGGTAGACTTTCTGGATCAACTAAGCAGCCTGGCTTCTAGGATTCTTTCTAGTACTGGTTATCCCTGGCATGTCCATCCACATATGTCCTGCAACTGTAGTAGGCAAATCTAAAGGATGCATCAGGTGTGTCCCACTTGTGACCCTTGTGCTTCACATGGCCCTGAGCAGCTGATAATGTGGTTCTACAAGACTGTGAACTGTTAATATTATTATGCAATTTTTAGCAATACTTTTCATAACTCAGTTGCATGGTGCTTAAGTGCAAACATTGTAGGCAACAATGGAAGAGGGTGAAGGGAACTGTGCACATCAGCTATATCATATATTATCTGTGCTGTCCAAGACAATTTCTCTTCTCTCAGTGGGGACTGCAGAAGTTGATGTAGTGACAGTATCAGCCGTGTATGTGGCAGTTGAGATTAAAGGCCCTGGAGCCATCGCAAACCCAGTATAAATCTTTACTCTGACACTTTCATGCCATGTGATCTTGGGCAAACCATGGCTTCTCTACTTTTTATTTTAGTTTTATTTTTTTGTCCATGGGAAGAATACATTCATTTGGATGTTGTTAAAACAATTGAAGGTGAGAACACGTGTATAGCACCTGGCACATTTTGATGCTTAATAAAAGATAATTGTGTATTTCATGAATCTCTCTTGAAGTTGGGGATACCAGGGTCAAAATGAATCACAGTTTAGTAGCATCTGAATAGATCACAGAACATGTCTAAGTAGCTTTTTAAAAATTAAATATGCGTGTATAATATTTACATAACTGAAACCAGGAAGTTGTAATGTTATTTTCTCATTTTTGTCTTGGGCAGACAGATGGATTTAAGTACCCCAGGCCCTCCTCAGTACCACCCTCTCCGTTGGGGTCTCAGGCCTCCAGTCCTCAGAGCAGCGATGTTGAAGATGAAAATGAAGATGAGCGATACGATGAGGAAGAGGAGGCTGAAAGGGATCGGTTAAATATTAAGACTCCCTTTTCTCTGAGCCATGTTCCTCATGGGAAGAAAAAGTTGCATGGTGAATACAAGAACTGAATTCCATTCTTGCTGAGTGGAGCTGATTTAGTAAGAACACACTCAGAGTGATTATTTAACAGAATGAAAATACCACATTTCATTCCATTTTCTTCCTGGTATTGCAAAGGAATTTATTCTCTGCCTAGAAAGTAGGGAGTAAGTGAATGGCAATTTTGGAATTTAGAATAAAATCCAAGTTATTATTCCTCTTGTTTCCTCTTTAAATTTAGGCACAAGGAGGAATGTTAAGGGGACAAGACTGGAAGTTTTTAAAAATCGTTAATTTAAGCAATGCAAATATTCTTTTAGGAGTCAATTCTTTTTTCAGTTCTGAGCATGGAACTCACAGCCTTCACACAGAGCTACATCCCTAGGCCTTTTTTATTTTTATTTTTTGGAGACAAAGTCTTACTAAGTTACTAAGTTGCCCGAGTTTGAACCTTCTGCCTTATCCTCCCAGAGTGCTGGGATTACAGATGTGTAATCTACGTTTTAACTTGTCATCATCATAACCCTTTGTTTAGTATTGATACAGCATCTACACCCATCACGCAAGTCTCCCATTCCATTCCCTAAGATCCTCACATTAGCTGAGATGTACACTACTGGTATACTTTAAATAACTCTTACTGATTACTTTTTATTTTAACATGTGTCAGCCCCATAAATTTGCTTAGCTTTGCTGAAAATTATCAAAATCCATAATAAAATAGCTATCCTACATCCATATCTTGATGCATATTTATAACCTCACATCTGAAATCTAGAGTTCATGTTCAAACCAATGATAGAAAGATGTTGCTACTTATAGTATATCAACTTACTGGAACGTTTTTCTGTTGTTTAAATGGAAAGCTTTTTCAAAAATTGTATCAATCCCCCATCAATGATAAATTGTTAAATTCAAAGGAATAAGTATATCAATATTTAAAGATTTTTTTTTATTGCTAATGATTTGTTTGAAAATCTTTTAGACATTAGGGCTGGGGATTTAGCTCAGTGGCACCATGCTTGCCTTACAAGCACAAGGTCCTGAGTTCAATCCCTGGTACCAAAAAAAAAAAAATCTTTTAGACGTTAGAATAAAATGTAAAGCACCTGTCATAAATAGTATCTAATGTAACATTTAAAACTATCCTTTTAAAAAGTAGTGAAAAGTTGTCTACTTAATTATAAGAACAGTGTCTCAACATACTCTGTGATATGCTTAGAGATATTGGATAGTTACACTTAAGTTGGTTTATGTTTTAACTGTAATTAGATCTAAATTGGCAACAACAAAAAAAGTAAAGACACTGCACATTCACTGTTGGATTCTTTTCTTTCTGTTAATAAGAGAGTAGCCATTCACTGCATGCATCCCATCTTGTGCACTGTGAATACCTTGACTGATGCAGTCAGTTGGCTTTTGTTTATAGTTTATAGAGGCTCTGAAACAGTGCTGATCTTCTCAATGCTGGTTATTAATGGTAATAATGGAAGATCAATAAAGACAGTGTGTCTCATGGTTCAAGACCAGTGAAAAACTGTAACCCAGCAATCCTATTTCCCCACTGACTAGGAAAAAGTGGAATAATGGTTATAAACAACAAATTAAGCAAAAATGGAATAGGGTTGCAAATATCTTGTTTTTAGAGTTTCAAGAGCAACGAAATTATCTAAAGCCTAACTCTTGAAACGTGCTCTGCAAATGCTAGTTAACCTAGGGTCTGCAGAGAAGTTTGAAAAACTCTTCACTAGAGAGCAGAAAAAATATGATGCAGATTTCTATTGTAGACGTTATCTGTTAAATTCCCAGAAAAATCTCATGATGGCAAGGGGAGTTTCATTGTCACAACAATCATGCAACTGTATCCACAGGAAACCAGCACAATGTGTATATTCAAAGGATTCTCTTGGTGGGTACTTGGTCTACAGTTATTGAAAGCATGATGTACCGTACAGTAAAATGTCTGAGTATAAGACCTTAAATGTTTTTTTGTTCAGTGAGGTAATAGTTCTACAGTTAGAAATGCATGCAGTATAAATAACTGCAGAAATTAATTGAGCTGCAAACACCTAGCTTTGAGTGACAAATGTAAAAAATTGGAATTTCTACCCCGCACTCAGCTTTCAAATGAGACAGCTGCTGCCACTTGATTCCATTCCAGGCAGTTATTTATACTTCCACGAGATCAACAAAGCCTGTGGGAGAAACGAATGGGATTGCTAGTAGATGACTTTGTGTCTAATAATGTGCCTTGTACATAGGAGTTGCATAAATAAACGGTCTTGCTGGAAGAAATAGAGGTACAAAAAATGATCTGTTTAAAGGATGCAAGTATAGAAAATAGTGTATGGTGCTTCATGAGTTGACAGCAAGACTTTTAAAAATGAATGGTGCCACCTATGAAGGTCTGTGTGTCCCCTCAAAATTAATATGTGGAAACCTTAACCCCCAGTATGATGATTTAGGAGGTTGTGGCTTCTGAGTGTGATTAGGTTGGGAGGGCAGGACCCTCATGAATGAGATTTGTGACCTTATAGAAGAGTCCCCCGCTGAGGTTGTTGGGGTGTAGCTCAGAGGTAGAGTGTGAGCTTAGCATGCATGAGGGCTTGTTTTCAATCTTTACCACAAAGAAGAAGGAAGGAAGAAAAAAAAAAGGCTTAGAGAGCTGCTTTGCAGGCCCTCACCAGGATAGTGATTCTGCCAGCACCTTCGTATTGGACTTCCAAGGCTCCAGAACTGTGAGAGATAGGTTTGCTGTTTATAAACCACCCAGTTTATGGTATTTTGTTTCAGCACCCCAAGCTAATCAAAACACCACTCTACCTTCTGCGGCATGAGTGTGGGTGAGCAGAGCTGGTTTGGCGTATACCGGTGTGAGCACTACAGAGCTACAGCGCTGTTAACAGTTCTCCAGGGTACGAGGAGGACTCCAAAAGGGACTGGTCAAATCTACTTGAGAAATCCAAAGAGGCCTTGTAGGATGAGCCCAAAATTCCATGAAGTCGTGTAAATGATATCATTGCCTATTTCACATGGTGGCTGTGAAGATAAAATAAAATTAGGAATGAGCTTATCCTAAAGGAGTTTAATCAGTAGAGAGACATAAAGCCACATTCCCAGCTTCCTTTCTCTTCAGGCCAAGATAATGTAACTCAAGGTTGATAAGACATACGTTTTTACTGATCATAATTGGGTAAAGAAGAAATGCGGGTTGCAGGCTGATTTGAATAAGCCAGGACCTCTTTCCCCTTTCCCTTCCATTTCTCAGAATCACAAGGGTGGTAGTGGGGAGGTGAGGTATCTACAGAGAAACCTGGGGAAACACCATTATTGAGAGCCCAGGCAGCAGAGAGGACAGAGAGGCAAAGAGGGAAAGGGCGACTTAATTGTGTAGAAAGAGGCTGAAAGCCCTGTTTGAAGGCAGGGTGTGGTATTACATATGTTGAAAGCAGTAATTTCCAGATTTAAGATACAAGCTATACGATGTGGACATTTTCTGACCTATGATCACTTGCTCATGTTAGTTTGTAAAAACACAAATCAAGAGAATTGAAAAAATAAGGACAAAACTCTGCTGTTGTTTGTTCCATCTGAAACACATGTTGAAATGTGTTTCTCATTATGGTGGTAGTAGTGGGAGGTGGGGCCGGAAGGAGGTAACTTGGGGAGCTGGGGTGTAGTTCAGTAGCATATTTAGCATGCACAAAACCTTGGGTTCAGAAAAGAAGGGGGAAGGATCTGGATGTTAAAAGTAACTAATACAGTTCTCTCTGGGCACTGGATTAGCTAACAGGAGAACGCGCTGTTTGTAAAACAAGGCTGCCCCTCTGTGACTATTCCACACGCACCTACTGCTCACTCTTTTGCTTTACTGCCCATGCTATGAAGCAGCCAGGGGCCCTCACCAGAAGCGGAGATGATGCCACAGCCATCTTCTGGGACCTCCTAAACTCTGATTTCTGAGCCCAATAAACTTTTTCTTTACAAATTACTCCTTCTTGGGTATTTTGCCTTAGCGGTGAACAATTCTGTGACACAAACAATAAGAGTTGGAAATTGGGGAGAGTTGTGATCAATCAGCACATTTGTAAGGCAGAACATTTAAAGAATTCAAGCGCTTATATTACGTGGAGCTGTGTTTAATAGTGACTGGTCATTTAGGCAGCTTCTGAAAACTCTAGCAAAATGCACTTGAGATTGTTCTGCTTAGCTGTGGGAAGAATTATTTCATAGCATAGACATTTAAAATATTCTTGGAAGCCAGGTGTAGTGGCGCACGCCTGTAATCCCAGCACTCCAGAGGCTGAGGCGGGAGGATCACTGGGAATTCGAGACCAGCCTGGGCTACATAGTGAGTTCTAGGTCAGTCTCAACTACATAGTGAGACCCTGTCTCAAAAAAAAATACTTGGAGTAAATATTTATGTAGGTGATATGTACAAATTTAGGTCCAAAGGGTAAATTCTCAATAAATCGGATGTATGCACTGCATAGCAAATCTGCTTTGAAATCAAATCCTAATTAATGACAGGTGCCTACTGTAATGCTACATAGTTTTTAATTGCTTGTATATTTTTGGCAGAGATAAATATTACATTGACTTGAGTATGGTTTCATTATTCAATTATTAAACAAGATGCAGACAATGTTACAAGCATGGTTTTGATTACTTAACAGTGAAATCATTACTTCAAGTTATAGAGACATTAACAAAAGATATTCTTTGGTTATTAAGTAATGGCCATATACTGACAATAAGAATTAATACTTTCTACTGAAGACATTTATTGGGAACAACTATGAATTGATTAGGTAAAAAAATAATGTGATGATCTTGTAATTCCAAATAAATTATGATTTCTGTAGGAAAATCTGATTTCTCTGTGCGTGTTGAGATGCTATTGAATCCAGGTTGACTTTGAAAAGCAGCAAATTCAGTATATTACATGCACTTGGTGTAATTTTATAGTGTCAAATCCTAGAAATCTAGGCAATTACTGTGAGTAGTGCTTGATTCCATTAAGTTTGTTTAGCCATGGAAAATGGTTTACTTGTAAAAGACTGGTTTGTTCCTTTTGTACAACATACACCTAAGGAGAGTGTCTCTCCATCTGTCTATTTCTCAAGAACATTTAAATCCATGTTTCTTTTTTTTTTTTTTTTTTTTTTTTTGTTTTTTTTTTTATTTTTTGGGAAATAATACTTTTAATACCTTTACATGGCAAGTCTTGATTCTCATTTTTTCCCCTTACCTCTGCCCTCCCTTCACCCCATGTTTCTTAACTGGACTCTGCGGGATCCCTTCAGAGCACGAGGTTGCTTCTGGCTGTGGGTCTTCAGCAAACCTTCCATTGCCTCTAGCCTCAGCGACCTTCTCTCGAAGCACACTGAAGTATTCTTTTCTCTGTCTGTCTCTCTCTTTTTTATTTTTGTACAGGAGATTGAACTCGGGTCCTCGTGCTTGCGAGGCAGGTGCCGGAACCACTGAGCTAAATCCCCGGCCCAAAGTATCCTTTTCTTGATGCTTCTTCCCAGCCGCCCCTTCCCACTTCCCTTGTTAACAATTTATCCCCCTGGATGAATCCTAGACACGCACATTCTTTCTCTTCCTGCCATAGATCCTCCTCCTCTTTGGGGATGGGAAAAAAGAGAAAAAGAGAATCATTGCTGAACAATAATAAGATGCAAATAGGTGACAGAATGAAAAACCAACAACTAACATCAAGACAGGTAGTGGCTGTGACAGAAAGAAAGAACACTTTGGAGTCTTCAGCCTTTTAAGAAATGCTCTAAAAAGCTCAAGAGCAAAACAAGGTGATCTACACAGCACCTGAAGCGATGAAGAAGGGCAAGAACTCGACAATTCCTTTGCGGCCAAAAGAATCAAACAGGTGATGCATATTTGCATATTGCTAGGATTACAAATGGAGTAAAAAGGGCTTAATGATTTTATTCACATGGTTTCTATCACCAACAAGAATTGATCTATACTTGAATGTAATCTGGTATATTTTCACCGGCTTAGCAGACTGTCTTCCAGGAATCTGCTGTGCTCAAACTTTTCTTCTGCGTCTGGAAGAAAAGCAAAACAAAACAAAACTTAAATACACATTCTATTTCAAAAGGCATAAAGGTAAGATGAAGAAAAACTCGAGAAATATACATTCAGCCTTCTCAGTTCTATTAACTTGTAGGCTGTGCTACTGGAAAAACAAAACAAAACAAAACAAAACTGGGTTTTGCTTTTTCTCCTCACCTTGGGACCGGTTGAAAAATTTACATTTTTACATCTAAATCTCTATAATTACTGAAATTATAACATAGTAGAAAAATAATAAAAAACAGTAGATTTGGGAGAAATTTGAAGGCTTGCTCTGATAAATATATCTCATGTCTAAAAAAACTGTCATTACAACTACTCACTTGTGTCAAAGTACTTTCTACATATTTCCTCATAAAATGCACATCACTTGGGAAAGTTGTCATAGGAACACATTTGAAAATACTCCCTTATTAGGTGACTTCTTCGGGGAGACAATGAGAAAAGAACAGGGACATTCGTTAGCTGGATAGAACCACAGAACATCATAGCATGTGGTACCACATCTGGGGCAGGATACTTACGAAGTCAGACAGTAGCCAGTTCCTGGGACTGAAAAGTGGGTGGAAGGGAATCAACTTGCACGGGGGTGGGGGTAGGGGAAGAGTGGCTGGAAGCAAAATGCGTCCCCTAATTTTCTCAGAGATCACCTCTAGATAAAGCCATATTCCCTCGGTTAGTTCTAGTCTGGATACCTCAGCTACAGCTTAACCTGTTGGCACATTTTGAAATACTGAAAATAAATGGGACATTATTTAAAGAGAAGGAAAATAATCACACCCAACCAGAAAAGTAACCCAGTTTAAACCCCACCTAAATGAAAATTCACTACATAAAAGCCTTCCAAATAATACTTAGAAATTTTAGAATAAAACTACTACAGGAAACTAAGGATCAGTAGATCATATGAGAATCCAAAATTTCCCACGAATTTAGGTGTATACTATTTTGTTTCTTCACTTCAGTGACAAGCCACTGGGAAAATCTTCATTAATTAGAAAATTGAATTTATTTTTCAAAAAGATTTGAAAGGGGCACTATAAAAGGACTGCTTTTTTCTCCTTAAAACTACCTCTCCCCTAGCACAGCTCACTTTGTTTTTTGGCTCTGCACATCTTCAGCAATCAAATGCAAAATTTCACTGCCAACCAATCTCTGTCACGGCTCTTTTCCTACTGACTTCAAACATTGGCCAGTATTTGAAATCTTGAATTTTTTAAAAAAGCTAATCTTGGATACAACATCTGTTATCCTTTATTCAACTAGTTTTCACCTCTTCATTGCAAGAGTTCTGAGAACCAGGCCAGCTCTCCAATACATATGACCCGCTTTTCTGCATTTTACCAAAGTCCCTGTAAACAAAGTCAGAGGATGTTTAATGTCTCCTGAGTTCTGTTTCCTCACTCAGCATCTTGCTAGATTTGGTGCTGATCACGATCCCTTCCCGAGACAGCATCCCTCCCTTCTGGTTGACGTTCAGCAATTCCACCTGCTTTAACTTTTACCGGTATGAAACTGGATTTGTGCTTATTTAATCATTTTGGCCTCACCGTTTTCAACTAAAATAATGACACTGGACTTCAGGCTTTTTCAGTTTTAGAGGTTCGAAGAGAGATGTTACAATAGGGCACAGACCGTGCAATTCATACAAAATTCCCCAGTCTCATCATGGGAACACTTTTATATTATTGGGACTCATTTTAATGAGAAATATACTGGTTATAGAATATACTATCCACTTATAAGTACAACAGGTTACACTTGTTATACAAAAAAAAAATCCCTATGAATTTGGGGGAGGTAGGAGGCAGAATTCTAAAATTAAGCAAAGCTGCACTGTTCTGAAGTAAAAAGAGGTCACTGTATTTATACCTTTGTGTGGCTTCTGCAACAAAGCCAGCAATAGGGCTGCAGCCTCTGGAAGAGGTAGTAATTGGGGATTTGGGCTTCGTCTTTCTGGGGAAACAAAATTGTAAACAGATTCTATTAGCAATGTTCATATAAATCACATCCTATTCTAGACGGGTACAAAAGCAGAACGACCTGTATGAAATAGATTTTTGATCCCTAAGCAAAGGATGCACAGAACACTGTTTTGTTTTGCTTTTTCCCTTGAAAATGACTTACAGATGGTTACGTTGTGTTTAGATGCAGGGTGTGGAAGAGAATTTTAAATGTATACTGTACTAAAGAGAACTCCATAAAAGAAAGAGCCTGTAGGAAATTTCTCTTTTCACAGTTTAATCTTTCTGTCGGGGCAGGAGGGTTGAGATGCCATACTGCTGGGAGCCTGTTCTACCTCCTCTTTTTCTTTCTAAAGGAATTTAAGATAATAATCTACATTACTGGTCACATACGAGGTATTTGATTCAAGAAGCATCTGCTAAATATTCAAAGTGATTTCAGGTGTAAGTTGACAGAACACACAGTGCCCTGATTCAGCACAAGCCTGGATTTTTAATTTAGAGGCAATTGAAATTGGAAAACAAATTTTACTGTCACAAAATAAACTTAATGGCAATGCAAGCTTCAAGAAGCAAAACAAAAATTTAAGTGCCTACTATATGCACAACAATGTTTGATATTTTTCAAAAATAAGTATATTTTCTACTCTCAGCACTTCAATCTACAGTTTTATACAAGTCAATTTGTTACTTTTTAATTCATTACCGTGGAAAGATTTATCATGAAAAGTAGCAGTCCCTGACCCCATAATCCTACCCTTCACTGAACTTTTGATTTGAGTATTTTGAAAGCTCTTTCTAGTAGTCATTAGAGGCTTACATTTGAAAATCCTGGGAAAAATAATTGTTTTAACAATAATAATATTGCGTGAGCATAAACTTTGTAAACATACTTCCACAAATGAGCGGGTGCGTTTCTAGAGAGAGTTGCAGACTTTTTTGGTTTTGTTTTCCAGTACCGGGGTTGATCCCAGGCTCTTCACACTGAGCTACATCCCTTGCCCGCTTCCCCCTTTGGAAAACTTTGAGACCGGGTTTTGCTAACTCACTAAATTACCTAGGCTGGGCTCGAACATGCAGCCCTCTTGCCTCAGCCTCCCCAAAGTGCGAGGATTACAGGCGGGCTCCACCAACCCCTGTGAGCCAGCGAAGCCCAGGCCTCGCCGTCCCTGCAAAACTCTTTCCCCGACTCCTCCGGCCGCCGCAGCTC